GTTTTCTTCATCGTGGGTATTAGGTAAGCGTAATCGGGCCAGGGTTAATTCCGTGGCCCCGGCGTGGTTCAAGACCACATGCTGAAAAGGATAGCAGATCACCACTGAGTGGCATCAGAACCATGCAGAATTAAATGATTTTAGACTGAATTTACCTTCTGATATTTGAATGAAATCATTTAAGTCAACTAGTTAATGCACTTTATGTTCTAGTGTTTTCTATTACCGGGGAATCTGTTGTCTCGTCGTTTTGGCATAGTCAAATTGCAGACGATGTTGTCACTTACTGACTGCCTATCTTAGAGTCCTACAGTGATCCTAATTACAGGAAGCTTTTGGTAAAGCCAGGGAAAACCATTGGTACAAGGCCCTGTCAGGTTGCGCGTTGGCGCACTCACATAAACCCACATTTCTTCATAAAGGAGGCTTTTGTGTGGGCGTGTGCGCGCCATTGGGCTCTCTGCTTGAAAGTTGTTTTTGTTAATTGCAACATTTGAACGCGTGTTGCTTGTAATGTTAAATCCGGAATGCCTGCGCTTCCGCGCGTCTAGTCAGACGGCTGGTTGCGCCGAGGTGAATTGGAATTTGATTACGCCCTCCCGACAGGAAATGGATTCAGACTACGCAAACACGGAATTCTTGGGTGTGAATAACTAACAAGCACCCACATACACACGTGCCGGTGTGTTTTTGAAATAAATCACACGTTTATAATTCCAGTTTGCTCATATTAAATTTTTTTAAGCAGCGTTGCACTCAGTTGACCTTCTCGTATTTATTTTGAGGACGCAGACACAAATATGTCCATCCGGCTGCCGTTGGATCCAACAAACGTCCTTGTAGGTGCAACTGGTCTTTAAAATGCTGTAAAGTTCTGATTCCGAACTTATACAATTGACATTCGAAGGATTTGAATAAATTGAGTTTCATGTATCGGAGGACTCGACGTGAGGCTATTACCCACACCGACCCGATCTAACACCAAGTACCCAGAGATAAAAGAATAGACAGAGAGTTAAGGAGGCTCAATCATGTACTTTGTTGTCTAATCTGGATGAAATAAGCCCTGGCTGTGTGCGCGCACCGATTGATCGTGAGGGGTACGACTGGAACTCGGGTCCCCCATGGTCGTTAAGACTCCGGGATTCGTAGTAATTCATGTACACGGCTAAATCATTCACAGCGGAGAATCAGAGATTAAACATTAGAAAATAAGTTGATTGTCTCCCTAAGAGGAACCAGGGAAATGATTATACATTGCTGCCAGTGATGTTGTGGACCAATGAACTATCAGTGAGAAGGATGAAATGCAAGTCTACCTGGTAAAATTTGCAAAGCAGTTTTAAACACAAAGCCCAATACAGTTAGAACAGACAATGCCCATTTGTCAGTATAGAAGAGGTGGATGTGTTGAAGTGTCAAAGATCAAGACTTAAAGAAATGGTTCAGATAACGGAAACGGGGTGAATATCAGGAACAAGGTAGAGTGACGTTGATACCAGTCGCATGTAAAGCAGGTAAATTGGGTTAAGAATGGCCCTTTACTGCAGAGGAGACATGAGGCCGTGTTAAGTTCACGAGAATAGATTTGCACAAAGATTGTATTCTGCGAAGATAGTGTGGTTGATGCCATCTACATCCAGGCCGCTTCAACTTTTGAGAGCACCTCATTCTTAGACGATGAAAGCCAAAATTATGATGCAAGAACAGCGGCTGACTAAAGATTCTCACTCATTTTCGCAGATTTTGAATTTCTGTTGAAGATTTGCAATTAGGCGTCACGAAGTGCAGTTTTATTCCGCATATAAATACAAATATCCAGTTGCAGCGTAATTAAACGAGCCACAAAGTAACTTAGTTATCAGCTGTATAAAAGGCAAACAGAATAAGTACGCGCTTAAGTTTTATGCCACGAGGCAAATGTACTAAAAAAAATAAAGTCGAAACAAGAATTTAAGAAGTGATTCAGTAGAGATGCGGCAGTTTGATTGGATGTGATTTTTTCTGCACAGAAGGATTGGGCAGAATTTATGCCTAAAACGAGACGAAATTGACAGGACG